CTTCCCTCTCCCGACGCGCCACCCCCTTGCAGCCGCCTTCTTCTTCTGAGGACACGGGGAAAGGTGGGAAGGAGGAGCAGGAGGTGGAGTGAGGAGGCGGGAGGAGGAGGAAGGTACATCCGCTTCTTCATCGAACGTGCAAGCCGGGGATGATTCCACGGGGTTGTTACCGCGGGGCAGTAACCTTCGGTGCAACCGTAATTGCTTGATTCTGCGGCTAATGGACGTCGATTCGGTGACGCGTTTTTTGGGCGGACTTTGGGCGGGGTCTCGCCAACGATGATTTTGACGGTCGAGCGGTGCGTTGCTCGATGGTGACTGACGGTTTTCGATGAAATTATTGGAATATACGGGGTGATCAGGGTGGAAGGGACATGTTTGATGTGTTGAATGTTGCGGTCAACGGTGATCTTGATTGAAGAGGATCAGTGGAATTTGGTTGGAGGATGATTGTTTAGGGACTTTTGTATATTGACACTCGAGGAGCCTTATAGTCGCCAACTGATCGCAGCGAATTTATGAAATTTTCAATTCATTAAACCTTGTAATGTATCAACATAAAACATCGAAGTAAAGTTCTGTCTCTTAATTTATACTTGGAATGGAAGAAATATGGTATTAAATCATTTGATTGAGTTGCATTGTTATTATTGCAAGTTCATCTGGTTGAATGTCACCACATTAGTTAGCATTATTTATAATATAGAAATGTTTTCAAATAATCATCGTTTAATTGAGTGAACTATAGTAATTCGATTTGGTTGGGGGTCACCGATGACTCCATGGCATTCAACGTTCAGTCAGAAAGTAATGAATATGTTTAAGGAAAAATATTGTTGAGTGCGAAGGGTTAAGTAATATTATTTAATGCAGTTATTCAACGTGTTAATGACGTAAGTTGATAATAGTTATCAAGTGTTGTAACGCTAAATAATTAATAATTGTTCCTGAAAATGACTGTTCCTGAAATGCTTAAGATTTTGGTTAACGTGTTAACACGTTAACAGTTGGTCACATATGTGGATTTACCAGAATGCTGGATGATAATTACGCGGGGGAACTGATGTCAAATCGAAATATCCGATCGCACGGGTAACTGGATAATAGCGTAACTCGAGAACTATGATACCAGAGCATTAGCAACCAATTCTAATACCGTTTGCCTTTGTTACGAAAGGACAGGTGATATTATACGGAACGCTGAAAATTCTGGCGGTCGGTTATGGTTTAACACCAGAACTACCGTACCAGTCAACATGACTGGTTTCAGTTTTTCTGTTTCGAATTTTGTAGAATTTTGTAGAATTTTGTAGTTATTAAGAAGAATCTTGATTTCTTAGTTTCTGGTTAACGAAGAAAACTGCTTCGAGTACATGAGAGTTCCGATGAATGTTTAAGTGGCAGTCAAACTGTTAACAGCATCAAGAAGAAACTCGAGCGCGCAAAAGTGAATGCAAACTAACGGCAAATACGAGAGTTTATAATTTTTCTGTATCAAATCATCACAGAGGGTTAAACGTCGTCAAACTAAACCAACAATGTATCTACACAACCAAATCGCCTCTGCTCTGCTCGACATTTTTCCATAAACTGCAATCGTGCTTCAGTCTCCTTAGAAGCATCAAGAAAGAACTCGAGCGCGCAAAAGTGAATGCAAACTAACGCCAGCGGAATGCGCGTTCTCTGTCTTGCCCCTCGCGAAACGCTTCGTTGCTCCTCGGAATGGACTAGACGTAGGAGACAATTCGTTTCCGAGGAACAATATCGTCGTCGGTAAAGCCCCGCCGCCCGCGATGGAAACCGCACTTTTCTCCACTGTCACGGGTATATATCATTCCTCGAGAGGAGTGGAGGACACGCTGTACTTTCCCCTCTTCCTCCCTCCCTCCCTCCCTCCCTCTTCCATCCAGCCGGGATCGGCCAGTCTCGACACGTACGCCGGGAAAGCTGGAAAAAGCACTTGACTTGAAAAATTGCATTTCCTGATCACGTCGTACTTTCCCCGTTTCCTTCGATCCCTGCCTCCCCGTGACACCACCCGCCAGCTCATATTTTCCCTTTCACCATCCCGGAGATGTATACCGGGTGTATCTGTGTATATAGGGTGGTCGCGAATAATTTCGACCGGTTTCTTCGTAAACGGGAAATATTAGGGAGATGAAGATGGGAATGTTGTAGGATGTTTTATTAGGAATGTGATAGGGTATTTGAAGTTTTCTTTTGTATTTTTGACCCTTTCACCTTGGGAGGGTTAATATTTAACGTTTTTATTTAGCGTTTGACGTTTAGGAAGAAAGTGATGGTATAAAATTATTGGTGGTACCTTTGTATAGTGGATAAGTGTGTTTGACTTTGGTTGGCTGTTTTTAGTTTGCTGTAGTTGACTTTTTGGTGGCTATGGTTTTAGGTTAGCTATAATTAAATTTTAGTTAGCTATAGTTTTAGATTAGCTATAGTTAACTCTTAGCTATAGTTTTCAGTTAGCTATAGTTTTAGGTTAGCTATAGTTAACTCTTGGCTATAGTTTTCAGTTAGCTATAGTTAACTCTTAGCTACAGTTTTCAGTTAGCTATAGTTTTAAATTAACTATAGTCAAATTTTAGTTAGAAACAACAACTTTTAGTTAACTATAGTTTTTAGTTAGCTATAGTTAACATTCAGTTACCTATAGTTTTCAGTTAACTGTAGTTAACATTAAGTTAACCACAGTTCTCAGTTAACCGTAGTTAACTTTCAGTCAACGTTTTTACGTGTACACACGGAGGGAGCCTTGTGTTACACTAATCCGACTATCGGAACGGTTCGTAAATCCGTGCCGTATTTCCTCGTTTCCTCGCAAGCGGCTGGGGGAAGTCCCTAATATTCGCCGGCGGTAAATGAACACGCGGCCTGAATGATACTTGCCGGCCACGCGTGGCTGCAACGTGTCTTTCGCGGCACGGTTCTTTTCGGCCTCCTGTTAAGCGTCATTGAGTTGAGAATTCTCGTTCGTCACGCATTCCAGCGGAGCAACCACGTGTCGGCAGATGATTGTTAGTTGTTTCTAACGATAATTGGATGAATTATGGAATTCAAAAATTCCTTTAATTCTTTGCGCAAGATGGAAGTAGCTTAGGCGTACCGTATCCGTGAAAATGCTGACCTGCAAAGTAACTTCTCATAATTTTCTCGTGTTAATCATCACTTCTTGCTTTAGTAATTATCAAAACTAACAGATCTTCGTTATAACTATCTTTATAACTATCTTCATTTTAACTATCTTTAAGTCGAACTTTTTGAAATTTTTTTATGTGAACTTCAACGGTGCTATTGAGATTTCTATTGATTTGGAATTCAGTTTGCCTGTTGCTGTATCAATTTCTGCAATAATTTCTCAGGGAAATTTAGAAAACTTAGAAAATTTAATTTTAAAAATTTAATTTTAGAAAATTTAAAAACTAAAAATTTGGAAATTTATATATATTAATATATATCAAATATATTCAACCATATCGCGATCCACCCTTACGGATTATATGTCTTTGTTGACAAACAACATCCAATACCAATTCTCCCCCAATATCTCACAACAACTCCCAACGCTATTCAACATTCAACCACATCCACCCTCACTCGAATCGCCGCGAAACTTCGACTCGAATGACGAACGCGCGCATTGCTCATAATTTCAAATTACTCGATCCGCATGCAAACACGCGTTTCCCAGATAGCGGACGCCCTCGCGGGGCCCTTTTATGACGCACAATTTAGAGCGGCTTCTTA